AAAAGTTGGTTTTTTGAAAAAAAATCAACAAAATCGATAAACCTTTGGCCAATCTAACCAAGAAAAAAAGAATAAAGTCTCTAATTTCATCAAACAGAAATGTTAAAGATGAAATAACAGACCCTTTAGAAATTCAAAAAATCCTTAATGAATAGTAAAAGAAACTTTATTCCCAGAAATATGAAAATCTGAAGGAAATGGACCAATATTTGGAAGCACGTCATCTCCCAAGACTTAGCCAGAATGCAGCAGAAATATTGAACAGACCTATATCAAGCTCTGAAATAGCATCAACTATACAAAATCTCCTCAAAAAGAAAAGCCCGGGACCAGATGGCTCCATGTCAGAATTCTACCAAACCTTTAAAGAGGAACTAGTACCTATATTACTCATCCTTTTCCAAAACATAGAAAAAGATGGAATACTACCCAACACATTCTATGAAGCTAACATCACCCTGATCCCCAAACCAGGAAAAGACCCAAGAAGAAAAGAAAATTACAGACTAATATCACTAATGAATATTGATGCAAAATATTCAACAAAATCCTAACAAACAATTCAGCAAGACATCAAACAAATTATACACCACGACCAAGTGGGTTTTATCCCAGGATTTCAAGCATGGTTCAACATATGTAAATCTACAAATGTAATTCATCACATAAACAAATTAAAAAACAAAGACCATATGGTTCTTTCAATTGATGAAGAAGCGTTTGATAATATCCAGCACCCGTTCAGAATCAGAACACTGAAGAAAATTGGTATAGAAGGGACATTTCTTAAACTGATAGAGGCCATCTACAGTAAACCCACAGCCAACATTGTATTGAATGGAGTTGAGTTGAAATCATTTCCACTCAGATCAGGAATGAGGCAAGGTTGCCCATTGTCTCCATTGCTCATTAACATTGTAATGGAAGTTTTAGCCATTGCAATCAGGGAAGAAAAAGTGATCAAGGGTATCCATATAGGGTCAGAAAAGATTAAACTTTCACTCTTCACAGATGATATGATTGTATATCTGGAATTTACCAGGGATTCTACTAGTAAACTCTTAGAAGTAATCAAGAAATACAGCAGCATCTCAGGTTACAAAAATCAACACTCAGTAGCCTTCATATACACCAATAGCAGCCAAGCTGAAAAAACAGTCAAGGACTCTATCCCATTCACAGTAGTGCCAAAGAAGATGAAATATTTGGGAGTTTACATAACAAAGGATGCAAAAGATCTCTATAAAGAGAACTATGAAACTAAGAAAAGAAATAGCTGAAGATGTTAACAAATGGAAAAACATACCATGCTCATGGCTAGGAAGAATCAACATTGTTAAAATGTCAATACTACCCAAAGCAATATTTAATTTTAATGCAATCCCCATTAAAGCTCCACTGTCATTCTTTAAATATCTAGAAAAAATAATACTTCATTTTATATGGAATCAGAAAAAACCTGAATAGCAAAGACATTACTCAGGAACAAAAACGAAGTAGGAGGAATTATGTTACCAGACCTCAGACTATACTATAAATCGATAGTGATCAAAACAGCATGGTACTGGCACAAAAACAGAGAG